CCACACAGGAATGTGCTCATGGGGGATGGTCAGCAAGGCGTTCAGGAAGGAGGATCTGTGGATCCAGCATTGCCAAGAGGAGAGAGCCCTCGCTCTTCCCAGCGTGTCCCCTGGAGGGCATGGACCCAACCATCAGCTTGCAGACACCTAGAAGGGTCCCACCCACCCTCACTCTGTGTCCACACTCAGCCGGCCACCTTGGGTATCCTTTGGTTTCTGTAGCGAATTCAATTATGGTCCTCAAAAGACATGTTGACCTGCAACCTTGGAATGTGACCTATTTGGAATAAAGGTTTTTGCAGATGTAATTAAGTTAAGGATCTTCAGATGAGATCATCCTGTATTTAGGGTGGGTCCTAAATCCAGTGATGGGTCCTTATAAGAGAAAGGGGAAGGGTTTGAGAATGAGACCTGAAAGAGGCCATGTGAAGGTGGAGGCAGAGGTGAGAATCAGTGACGCATCTACAAGCCAAGGACACCACGGGTTGCCGGCAACCACCAGAAGGGAGGAGAGAGGCTGGAGGGCTCTCCCTCAGAGCTCCAGAAGGAACCGATCCTTCCAACACCTTGATTTCTGACATCTGGTCTCCAGAACTGTCAGAGAATAAGGCCACTATATTTGTGGTTATTTGTTACATCAGCACTAGGAATGAATACAGCTTCTGATGGTGACCATAGGTGCTGGCAGAGGACCTCGTGTTTGAATAAAATTGGGAAACACCATGTTAAACTATAGGTTTCTTTGCTTGGGAACTTCTCAGAGCCTTTAATAGGCCACAGAGCTTTATGAATTTCCAGTACTAAACATGCAATTTTCAAATTTATTTAACCAAGAAACCCTTTTGTATTAGTCAGCTTGGGCTGCCATAATAGAAGACCACAGACTGAGTAGTTTAAACAACAGGCATTTTCTACAATTCTAGAGGCTGCAAGTCCGAGGCCAAGGTGTCGGCAGGATTGGTCTCTGGTGACTTCTCTTCCTGGCTTTCAGACATGCACCTTCTCGCTGTGTCCTCACATGGCCTCTTCTCTGAGCACCGTGGAGGGGGAGGGAGGGAGGGAGAGGGAGGGAACTCTGGAACTCTGGTGTCTCTTCATCTTCTTATGAGAAGATGGATTTTACTGGATTAGGGTCCTATGAATATGACCTTATTTAACCTTATTACCTCCTTAAAGGCCTATCTCTAAATACAGTCACACTGAGGGTTAGAGTTTCAACATATGAATTTTGGAGAATACAATTGAGACCCTTACTTCATGGGATTGATTTTCCCCCAGACACACCTGGGGAAATGTAGATTTAATTGTCTTGAATTTGATCTCAGGAGTATGGGGTGGGGGTTATATAAGGATGTCCTATATAAGGATGTCCTTGGTAGTGGCGGGGGAGGAGAAAGAGCATGTGGTAGATATTTTTTAAAGCTCCTTCTGTCAAAAGATGAAGTCTATTTTCTCTACCCCCAAATCAGGGCTTGGCTATGTGACTTGCTTTGGTCCAGGGGACAGTAGGAAATATAACTCAAGCAGAGGCCTAAAAAGTGTTTGTGCACTGGGCTTGGCTTCTTGCTCCTTTCAGAGCCCGGCTGCCAGGCGAAGAAGACGGCCTGCTGGATAATGGGATTAATGTGGCCCCGTTGCCTTTACCATCCTAGCCAAATGCCAGGCATGTGAGCGGGGCACCTGGGACCTGGGCCATCCAGCCCCCACACTGCAGCCACGTAGACCAGCGGAAGAACCATCCAGCTGAGCCCAGCCCAAATAATCATAATCATCATAATAATAGTTGCTTTAAACTACTCAAGTTTTGAGGTGTTTTTTTTTAATAGGAGCTAAGGCATTTCAGAAGAGACCTGTGCTTATCACTGCTTTATACAGAATAGTTTTCTCAGGGTGCGTTTGCTTGTACCAAAATTATCCTCAGTTCTGTGGAGAAGCAGTCTGCCACCAGCATTGCTACTAGTTTTCTAGCCTCTTAAAGACATCAACATGATGAATATCAGGTGAAAAATCTGAAACTGATACCCTACAAAAACAGGATGTGAGCTTTATTAAGTCAGTCCCTGAAGTCAGCCATAGATTGGCTACAGAGAAATTGAAAACATGTTTTAAATTATAGAACGTGTTTAACATGTGAAAACTGATCTATCTTGAATATTCTTGAATAATCCACGGGAAGGACCTGGTGAAACTTGGGTTTTAGTTTTAAAGCAATTTCCTTTTGAGAAATGGCACCATCTTCTGAAAATCAAGCTGCACCGACGGTCTTGGTGATAGGGATCCTCAGAGGTGGGGGCTGCGGGGAGAGGAGTGGATTTGGGGACAGCGCCCACGTGCTGGCGCAGCCGGACCTAGCTCTCTGCTGCCCCCCAGTGCTGATTTTGTGGCATTGCAGGGGTGCCACCCTTGATTCAGGCTCCTGCCTCTGCACGCAGCGGATCCCTCTCAGGGTCTGGGGCTTAGACCCGGACCCCATGGGACAGGGTGAGGAGGAGGCTTGTGATCCATACCTCACCCCACCCCACCCAAAGGCTACACATTTACTGTTAAGTCCACAGGGTGCCCAGAACATGGATCGTTTACAACCACTGCCTCTTCTGGAGCAGTATTATTTTGGGGTCCCACTCACATCATTTTAGACACGTTGAAGGTCACCCAAATCCCACATCAAATGTGAGTTCCATATGCTTATATAGGAGTTGACTTGCATTGCAATTGAGGTGTTTATTTTTGGTGATCAAATACATAAAATTTATCATTTTAACTTTTTTTTTAAGAATAGCTTATTGATTTTTAGAGAGAGAGGAAGAGTGAGGGAGAGATAAACATCGATGTGAGAACATCCATCGGCTGCTTCCTACACACCCCGACCCGTACAGGAGATCCAGCCTGAAACCCAGGTTTGTGCCCTGACCAGGAATAGAACCAGCAACCATTTGGTGCAGGGGATGATGCCCGGCCAACTGAGCCACACTGGCCAGGGCCCATTTTAACCATTTTAAAGGGTACAATACAGTGGCATTAAGTACATTCACAGTGTAGGATGGCATAACTACTGTTTAGTTCTAGAACTTTTTCATCACCCCAAATGGCAACTTGTATTTTTTAAGGAGTCACTGCATTTGACTTTTTGACATAAGGTTCCTTTTCTTAAAAATTTTATTTCTTGATTTGAGAGTGAGAGAGGAAAGGAGAGAGGGAGAGAGAGAGAGAGAAACATTGATTTGTTTTCTACTTACTTAGGCAGTCATTGGTTGATTCTTGTATGTGCCCTGACCGTAGATCGAACCCACAACCTTGATGTATCAGGACAGCACTCTAAGCAACTGAGCTACCCAGGCAGGGCATGAAGTTACAGTTTTTAGAGATTTAAAACAATTCTTAACTTAAATTATTAACATTTATTAACTCAGGAATTATACTTTTATTTTTATATTTAAAGCCAATTAATATCTTTTTTATTCACATATATTCTCACAGGACCTTAACAGCTGCTAGGTGTAGGCCTGTGCGTGGGGTGCCTGGTACAAGGAGACCATCCCCCATCGGGACCCACTGGGCCCCTGGACCCTGCTGCCTCCCCAGGGCTCCCTGCCTTCCACACTGCCATCAGCTATTGATTCTCTTAAACATACTTGTATAACTCTTTTTGCTAAGTTATAAGTATGACATGGTTATCATAGACAAGTTGGAAAGTATAGGTGAGCATAAAGGACTATAACCACCCTCCCTAATTCTATCGCTTAAGATAACCACTATTAACATTTAAGGGTCTCCCCACCCCCAATCCATTGTTTTAGGCAAAATTACCACCCAACTTACCTCAAAGACATGATTTTATTTGCAAAGTTGGGATCCCACTATACTTTCAGTTTTAAACTTTGCTTTTGTTTGGTTATTAATATTTTGAGCAATTTCCTATATCCTTAAATATAAGTTTAATAGCTGCATACATTTAAGTAAAAATTTAAATTTAATATAATTTAAAATATAACTTTAAATTTGACAGCTGCATTCCTGTCAGATAGGTCCACATACTTTATACGGCCGGTTGTCTATCGCAGGGTGCTTTGCAGTCCATTTTCACTGGGCGTAGCTGCAGTAACAACGTATCTCCACGTCTCAGCAGCTCACAACCCTAAAGGCTCATTTCTCGCTCGTCTTATATTTCTTCCTTCGCAGATTGGTTGTGGTTTAGCTCCTCCTGGCTGTGGGTCAGCTGTGGCTGTAATTCTTCTTCCTTCTAGAACACAAGTTGAAGGAACAGCCCCCACGGAGACATGCCAATCTTGAGGCAGAGGGGAAGAGCAAGGGCGCAGGTGGGAACAGGCAATATCTCCTTTTAAAGCTTCAGCTTGAGGAGCCGCACATCAGCTTCACACGCCACACACAAGCCACTGGCAAAGGCGGTCACAGGTCAAGGCCAGTGTGGGGCTGGACAGAGGCCTCCCCAGGAGCAGCGCGGCCGGGTGNATGTGGGGCTGGACAGGGGCCTCCCCAGGAGCAGCGCGGCCGGGTGGGATAGTATAAGCCTCTCTGGGAAGGGGGAGAGCGAATAATTGGGAGCCGGAACGCGACTGATTGTCTCCAGGTGTTTCCATGTCTAAACTATTAAAGTGCTTTTCATTTCTCTTTTTAAGTGATATTAAATCTTATGTAATTTTTAAACTAAAATTTAATTTTAACCACAGTTGCACAGGTGCATGTTTTTAAAAGTCAAATGATTCTTTAAGGCTTGTAACACAGGTACACAGCAGCAGCCGCTGCCTCCCAGCCGAATTTCCACGCAACCAACTGGGAAAGAACTTTCCCCCCTTCTTAATATGTGCTAGGAGCTGTGCTAAAGGATTTGCCCAAATTGTCTCAACTTAATCCTCACAAATCCCTCAGTAGGTAAATGTAGTATTTATCTAACAGAGAGGAAAATTAGGCTGAACAAGCGATTTCTAGGGCGAACACCTGCCAGCAGGGGGCAGGTTTGCGATTGAAACCCGGGGTACCCGATGCCGCAAACCCGGAGCCGAACCCCTGCAGCAGCGGTTCCCAAAGCGCGGTCCCCGCCGGCAGCTTCCGCCTCGTCGGCGAACTTGTTGGAGACGCGCGTGCTTGGGCCTCACCGCAGCCCGCAGCTCGGGAGCCCCGGGGGTGCAGGCACCGCAGCCCGCAGCTCGGGAGCCCCGGGGGTGCAGGCACCGCAGCCCGCAGCTCGGGAGCCCCGGGGGTGCAGCAAGCAATTAGGTGACTGATGGAGACTCAAGATTGACAACTCTGGCGCGACTAGCCGGCCTCACTCATATCTGAGAGGCAGGAAGGTCCCTGTGCCGCCCCCCCCCCCC